GTAATATGTTTAATGATAGATCAGTTAGAATGTCTAGCCCTGAAAGAAGTGAAATTAGATCAAGAGATATTCCTATCACTTCAAGAGGAATACCTTCTACATCAACAGATCCAACTCCTAGAGAAATCACAGGTTCAGAAATTTTACCTGTTCGATCTAATCGGAAATTAACTAATAAATTCGGTAAACTTGCAGGAAGTAATTTTGAATAGATAATTTAAGATCTTATGTAATCATTATTTATTTTATTTATTAATTATTATAAATTATTCTGTATTATATAAAATATGTAAAAATATATTTATATTATTAGTAAAATGAATTTTCAATAATAAGGGGAGGGGCCGTAAATTTTAAAAAAAATCCGGTAAATTTTATATGTAACCAGCAGAAAATTTGATATCCTATTTTATGCCTTGTTACTTTACTATTTGGCTATTGATTTGAAATTTTAAGGTTAGAATAGTGTAAATATACGTGGTCTATCAAATTTAAAATAAGGGAGGGTCTTAAAATGGATTTTATTCCTGAGAGGAAAAATGAAAAAATTTTACGCAGTCGTTTTTTTCTTTCGCTAGATTGTATCAATGAAGTAAAATATTTTAAGAAACAAAAGTATTCCAAAAATTATATTATCCAAAACCAGAAATCTTTATGAACAGTATGTGAATGCTTTCGCATTCTGTAAAATGATAAATACCAATAAAGTATTAAGCAAAAAAGAGCTTCAGGAACAAGCTCAAAATAACTAATAAGAACTGAAAATGAGAAGTAGAGACTTTATTCAAAGTCATATTTTTGAATTATTACAAATATCTGTTCAATCTCATTATTTAACTTTTTTTTACAACAATAAAGAATCCTATCAGAATCAGAATCTCCAAAACCTTCGGAACTTTCAGAACCCATACTCCTTTATAAAATGCAACAGTATAAAGGCAGTTATATGAAAATTTTCAAAAAAAATAAAGCTGTTTTGTATAAATACAATAATTTATTAAAAGCAGTAAAATCGTCAGAATTTCGCTTACAATTTACTTCAAAAATTAAAAAGATTAAAATGATGGTTGCGTTGAAAGAAAGGAAGCTTAAGAAGTTAAAGAGTAATGCAAAGACTCAAAAACGAGCTTGAGATAGAGGAAAGAAAAATGTTATAGAGTTATATGATGCATCAGGTCAGCCATCATTTTTGATGATAATCCTGAAATTTTGGATAAAATGCATAAATCAGTTTGATATTATTAAAAGAAATGAGATGATCAATCTTAGTAAACACTATTAATTTAGCTTCAATTAAAGATATAAAAATATTCACATTAATTTTTTCTGGTAAAATTGTATTGATTTATAAAATGATAAAGCTAAGGTATTTATTTGTTTAATTTAAGTTTTCAATTTTCCAATTTTAAGTTTTTTAAATTTTTTTTTGATATAATCAGTATCAGTTTTTAACTATAATTTTTTAAAGATTGTGTTTTAATAAAGTAAAAATATTTATTTATTCAAAACATTTTGAATATGCCAAATAAAATATATATAGTAGATTTTATTTTAATTATAAAAAGAATTCTTGAATGAATTTACAAATCAAGAAAATTTTGTAAACCATTTAAACATTTTTTGATAGATGACAGATCAGATGAGAATCCCTAATTTATTACAAATATTTTAAAATACTTATTACTTTTAAAAAACTTAATTTAAACTACCTTATAATTTAAACTTATATTCTAAAGCAATCTGCATATAATTTAATATAACATTACTTTTTAAAAAGTTAGAACATATTAAGTTAAATGTTTTTACATTTTAGAAATATTAATAAAAAATTACTGTTATAGATAAAGATATTAAACATTATAATTTTAAATATATAGACAAGTGTCTTTGTAAACATTAAAGTTATAATAATATTAATAATTATCCAGTTATTAATACATATATCAAAGGGTATAATCAAAAAGATTTTTGTATATAAATAAAAAATTATAGATTTGCATTAATAGAAACATTTAAATTATAAATACTTTCTTAATTTTAAAAAATATAAAAATAAAAATTGTTATAGATAACCATGTATAATTAAAACTTTTGAACTATTAACAATAATGATTTTTACTATCTTTTGTATAAGATATAATGATCATTTTTTAAATTAGGTTCTTTTAGAATATTTTAATAAAAAGTTATCAAATTATAATAAATAATATTTTAGTATATTTTAGATTTATATAATGTTAAAATTTTCATAAATATTTTTCATCAAAAATATTTTTAAAATTATATATTAAATATTTATTTAAAAGAGAAAGTAATAAATTTAAAGATAAATAGTTTGAATTATAATAAAATAAAGTTAATATAAAATATATAAAAATTATTTATATAAAAATTATAAAAAAAAATTAGAAAAAGAAAGACAAAACTTAAAAAAAAATTGTAAAAACAAAATTATTTTTAAATTTAATACTAAAATAATTTTTTTGAATAATAATAAAGTTTAATTTTTTTTTATATTATTTTTTATATTAAAATATTAATTAATATTATAATATTTATTTTAAATTTTTTTTATACTATTTTTTTACACTAAAACTTTAATAAATTTCATATTAATAAAATTTAATTATACTATTCCTTAAAGTATAGTGTTACGCCAGTTCTTTTAGATCGCGGGTAAATCACCTACAATATCACAGTTTAGCAGAAGGTTTCCTTCACACAGAAGAGTAAGAATAAAAATACAAGACAAGAATTTAAAGAGAATCACGATAAACTGGGTGAAATATGTGCAAATAATTATTTAACAAACAAAAGACTAGTACTGCCTCTG